TACTTTTTAGGGCATATCCTCTGATATGAAGGGTCGAGTGGGAGTTAGCGCTACAAGCAGCACTGGAAGAGGACGGCATGTGTGAACTATCACCCGGGCGATGGATACTGTAGCTCTGTTACGACCAACGTCACTGAGTCTCAACACAGTTCTATTTAATACGCTAGAAGGTCGAGGCAGATCCATGCGACTACTTGCTTTAAGTAGCATTTCACATAGACTTAACCACAATAAATATGTGTCGCTTTGTCAGACAGCTCGAAGTGTAAGGTAGTCGAGGCTACGTTCTCCAAGTATCTTTTATTCAGCCTCCATTGATTTTCTCCTTTTATTTCTGGGATGGTATATGTTTCTATTTTTTGATCTCTTTGCACATATACTTTATGTTGATTTGTATTCATTTCTACTTTCGCTTCCGTGTCTTTGTGGTTATTATACTGCTCTGTTGTTACAGTTTGTTGTTTTTTTTGACTAATTCCTTTATTCTCATATACTGCTTTTTTGTTTTTTGTTACTACACCTGGTTGTTGATATTCATAATTATCTCTTTGCTTATTAGTTTTTTTATATACGAAGAGTGTAGTTTGTGTAGCATCTTTTTCTAATCGTGCAGTTTCTCTACTACTTTGGAAAGCTGTCTTATCTTTTTCGTTAGTATAATTTATTTGTATGCTTGATCTGGTTTCTCCGGTGCCTACCGGTGAGTGTGTATATTTTGTTCTATTTTCTGTTGTCGCTTCATCTATTATTTTCTTATTATTATTCGTACAGTAACTCCTGTCTTGCTCTGCAGATGGCTGGCAAAGACCTCAAGCAATTAGGCCTTCCCATTCCTCAAAGAAATCTCAGTGATCGATTGAGCAGAGAAATGCTCAGAGAAACAAGCTACAACGTAAACGAGTTGAATCAATATGTGTTAGCGAATGAACCGTTACTGGTGATAGGCCAGAGAGCTGCTTACAATGCCATATTAGACCGAATCAATAGGAAAGCTGGTGGAATAATTTTTCTTGATGCACCCGGTGGAACAGGAAAGACATTTGTCATTAACTTACTTCTGGCTAAAATTCGACAGCAATCAAAAATTGCAATTGCAGTGGCGTCTTCGGGGATTGCTGCTACGTTGCTTCACGGTGGTCGTACTGCTCATTCAACACTAAAACTGCCTCTCAACCTTACACATTGTGAAGCTCCTCTCTGCAACATCAGCAAAGGAACTGGGGAAGCCAAGGTTCTACAAGAGTGTGAACTTATTGTGTGGGACGAGTGCACAATGTCACACAGACAAGCATTAGAGGCCTTGGATCGTACTCTTCAAGATCTCCGTGGCAATAGGAAACATATGGGTGGAGTTGTTGTACTCCTTGCGGGTGATTTTCGTCAAACGCTGCCTGTTATTCCAAAGGGAACAATGGCTGATGAGATTAAAGCGTGTTTAAAATCGTCACCCCTATAGAAACATGTTATACCGCTGGGCCTCAAAACCAACATGCGGGTTCATTTGCAAGGTGATGCGTCTGCTGGCGGTTTCGCTCAACAACTGCTCATTCTTGGAGATGGAAAAGCACCAGCTGATCGAGTCACTGGACTCATCCATATTCCGGATACTTTTTGCAATGTCGTCGAATCGATTGAAGTACTGAAGAGCAGTGTATTTCCGAACATCCGGAGCCATTTCAACGATCACAAATGGCTATGTGAACGTGC